CCGAGAAACGCCAAGACAAGTTGTAGGGCGTAGGCAATTTGACTGCGACGTATTCTGCCGTTTCTGAAGGTTTTACTGTTAATGCTCCTACGCAGTAGATTCCAGAGTGGTCATTCATGGTCAACTTTGACCATGACTTAAGTCATCCTTATTTGCGGTTGTAAAACCTCATGCCCTTTGAATAAATATTTCTTCTGGCGACAAATGCGGCTAGTTAAAAACTATCAACAAGCAAAATGTGTCCTTTCATAAAGAAGTATACTTCACTTCCTCATAGAGAACTATAAAAGGTAGTAAAACCCGGGTTTCGAAACAGAAAAGTACGGCACGGAACGAAATTTCCGAATTGTAGTTAACGACTATTCGAGATTTGGCTTGGCAGAATGCACCGCGCTGACCATGAGAAATATACACTAAAATTCGGCAAATTACTATAGCATATACACGCATTGGCCATTACTAGAGAAGTGACAGTTTCGTCAAAGGATTAATTTCCACAGCCCCTCTAAACTATATAATGAAGCATACCGTTTCCTGTTCTCAGGATTGCTAATTTCTTCTGCATATTCTGCAAATAATTTACAAAATTCTGGATCCTTAAATGCCTTTTGGAGACGTTCAACTTCCCCAGGCGTTAGCTTGAGGTCCTCCAGTCTCTTTTCCATGGTTAATGAGGATGGTGAAGCCGTAATTTGATTGGTTAATAACGACAATTCCTTAGCCAATCACAAAGTGTGACATGTATGTATTTTGCTTCCATTCGTAAGCCGCGGGTAGATAGGCATCATAACAACGGTAGGAAACCATTTTTGAATGCGGCAGCAGCAACAATTCATTTTAATCATGCTGGCAGGTGTAGATAGTGAAAACAGACTGGACATTCGAAGTCAAGATGTTTTCCCCAAACTTCGGATCTGTTGCTCAATTCGAAAAAAAAGAGGGGCTGAATGCATCAAATTATTCAGTTTACTGAACAATTACGGCAAGGTTTCCGTTGAGAATCTGAATATGGCAGATCAAAAGAGACCTTCGAGAACGAAAAAGTGCCTGAGTAAGAAATATTCCCAAGAGTTTATATCATTTGACTTGAGAAATTAATTGACTAATCATCCTTGTCAGCACCAGCTCCCGGAGTGGGCGGGTTGACCACGGGGGATTCGATTGCTTCTTCTTGCCGTACTTCTAATATACTGTAGCTATACTACTACTAGCACCATTACCGCACTCACACTCAAAATAGCTGCGCCTACAGCTGTCTTTAGCACAAACGTCAGTCTCAGTAGTCCCTGAAGATTCTCTGCCGCAAGGTAAGCTGAGCTCTTGTTTTCTGTTTTCATTGTTCTTTCATACTCGCGTTCCTTCCTTCTCTCTCGGCCTGTCTCCGTTCCTCTCTTCCCCTCCTCTCTC